ATGGCAGCCCCTTTCCGTGCGCGCTTGAGCCTCCGTACCTCTGCACTTTACTTCCTCACCTCCTCTGAGTCTATATGTGCTTTTCTTTTTCCTTCTAGTTGTAGAATTTCCACTCAGCCAGCCTTCCTGTAGTTCTGGATGATGTCTGTTTTGTCTTTTCATTGTATTTTTGAAGTTGTTGTGGGAGGCAGCAATTTCCGGTGTTTACCTATGCCGCCATCTTGGTTTCTCCCCTGAGTATAGTATTCTTGGATTCTGTCCCTTGCATTACATTACTTTGTATTGCTGTTGACATTTTAATAGGGATTTTATTGACTCGATAGATAGGCATGGGTATTATGGGCATTTTAATAATGTTAAGTCTTCCATGTACATGGTATACTCTTACATCTTTTGGTATCTTTCTCTATTAATTTTTTCAATGTCCAATACCTTTCCAAGTTCAGGTCTTTTACCTCCTTGGTTAAGTTTATTCCTAGGTATCTTATTATTCTTTTTTGCAATGGCAAAATGGGTTGATATTTTAGTTCCTTTTTTTTAATTGTTCAAGTTTTTATTTTTATGCAAAATATGAGAAATGGACTTGTAAAACAACTGAATTTTATGGGAAATGAACAGCAAATAAATTAGACCCATGTTAAAATAAAAGGTCAGCTAAATGTCTAATCTTAAGGACATAAGAACCACAATTAAACTTTGATTCCCCAATCTTCTTTAAGAAATCGACGTCTTTCAAACAACTTTGCTATGAATTAGGCCAGAGCATAACAGTATACAGGAATGCTTATCAAGGGTGGTGATCAGGGACACATTTCCTTGGTGCTGCTTTGATGATGTTATCCACATGCAGAATCACCTGTGCTGCTTCAACTGCACTCAGAAGAACTTGCTGCTTCACTTGGAAACTTTCTGTTATGCCCAGTATTGCCATATCACCAATAGTTCCTTCCATCATATCCAGTCCAGCATTTGTACTACCTTCACTATGGGCAGTTCAGAGCTGTACCACTACATCT